TTGCTGAGTGTGTGCTTCCCAGTTGTGGCCGAGAATTTATCCACCCTCCAGGAAAAAAGTTTTTACTCCTTGAAATCTGTTTTAGTCAATTTGTAAGGTGTTTGGTTTTATGCATAGATGCTTAAAATAAACTCTTCCTGTTAATAATGTAGGCACCCTTGCATAATTTGAAAGACAACAACTAAGAAACAAAAGATGGAATAAAAAAGGCAGTGGTGGAGGTGTGTTCCCCTTCCCTGAGTGAGATTAATATGTGCGTCCTAAAATGCTGAATGACTGCGTGTTCTGTTCCTACTTTATGGCCTGAAGCTTAGACAGAAGCTTTCTCATCCAGAGGATTTTTTTTCTTTTTTCCCTTCCTGCAGGTCAAACAAAATAAATGTGTCCTTGGTTTGTCCTCAGGCACTTCTGTAATAAATGTGGTTATTACTAATCTGGAGTCTTTTGTCAACACATGTCATGTACTACAGGAAGAACATGATTTACTATTGGCATGTATTTTAGCTGGAAAGTATTCTATGTGCTAATGTTTTCAGTTATTCTGGATAGTGAGAGATGAGTGGGCTCCCTTGAGATCCCTAAATACAACCAAACCGGTATTGTTGCTGGTATTGATCTGGTACAACAAATAAAGATAACAGCAGTTATGTTTTTAAAAAAATGCTCTCTATGGCCTGAACAAGATAATTTCTGCAAGTGCAAAACTACAGGATATATCAGGATATTTTCTCAATTCCATTCATTTCACTACAGTTTCAGCTTGTTGAAATTGTTCCGAGTCACACTGCTGTTTTTAAAGGGTTCTGAAGTAGACTCCAGGACCCACAGTCAATCAAGAACATGCTTTAAATAATAGCTTAATTACTGAACTGAGTCAGTTTCCAAAAGAAGATGTTGTGATGTGATTAGTACTGTGTTGTATACTCAGAAAAGTTACATCAATTTAAGATTTGAAATCAACACATGGAACATATGTTCCAATTTCCCATGAATGTTCTTTTTTTTAAAAAAAAAAAAGCTATTTTAAGTTACATACTGTAATCCTTTTTGTGGAGATCTGCATGAGACCTTAATGTGCTTTAAGTGTATTTGATTTAGTTGATTAACTTTTAAGAGAAGATTTCTGTCCTGTCCCCTTGGGGTTGTGCATACCTCCTCTATAATGATCATTAAATAGTGTGGTCTTCAGGCTGCCACAGAGATCCGCCTGCAGGGTACACCCAGTAGGCATTTTTGCACTGATTTTTTGTTGCTAGTAAACATCTGACCTCTCATGGTAAAAGCGGAGTTCTCTGACCCACTCAGTAGAGGTGAAATGAGGAATGTTGTACTTGGATTCTGCTTGTGCAAGTGCTTTGTTAGAGTATCATAGTGTAAAACTTGTGCTGCCACAGAAATTTGAACCCTCCTGTGTCATATCTAGGGATACAGGCGGTATGGAACAGCTGTTACAGCAACAGGTTCTTTTTCTACTCTGAAGGGCAAATGTTGTGTGCACAAAAAACAGCTTCCTTTTTTTATATTTGGAAAGTTATGACCTTGTCCAAATAAGTTTGCCCCTCCTGGTATTCATGGTTAGAATCCTTCTGCACTTTTGCTCCTCTGAGGGAGAGAGAAATGGAGCTGGGGGAGAGAAAAGCCAGCGATCAGGCTTTCTGTGATGAGCTGATGTCCAGTCTGTGGGTGACTTCGAGGCATGCTCTGATAAGAGATTGAGCTAGGTGGCACAGTGCTAAGCAACTGCATTGATGTAACAGGGTGAGTGAAGAACAGTATTGATAGTTAGGGGGTGGAGTTTTAAAGACGATCAGCATTAGTATGAGCCAAATTATCAGTGCTCACAGAATTGTATTAGTAGGCACAGGAAGGGCTAAAATAAAGCTATTGTTTGTCTGGTACACTTTATACAAGTCATGCAACCCTTTGAGAAAGTTCCAGTAATGAGATTCTGCTGTTTTGTTGTTCCTTTTATTTTATCTCCCCCGTTCAACAATTTTCATAGGTTTTATTCAGCAGAAACCCCTGCAGGGTTGTGTCCAGAATTGCACAAACACCAAACGTGTGTCTGGGTAATTGCAGAGGGGGAATAGATTGGACTAGAGTTGCTGCTGTTTTCCAAGGCCAGGATGAGCACAGCGTGGGTGGGTGGCTGGTGGCTGTTAACATTAGAAACCTCTTAATCTGTACTTTTGTCTTCCTGGGGGCCACTATGTGGAATCCCATTTCAGATGTGACCTCCATGCAAGCAGTTTTGAGGTTGTTAGGCAGAAGATCAAGTGCTTTCTTTGGTATGTGTGATCAGCTATTACCATGGTTGTGTGGCACTGGCCATGATCAATGCATGTGACTCTGCTCTGGTCCCAGGCAGACAAGTGTGTGCTCCCCTGTGTGCTCGCCTGCTTGCATATTTACATTTCAGTGCCTGCAAAAGGTCAATAAATATTCTGTGCTGCAATCACAAGTTAATCTGTATCTATTGCAGTGATTACTTTAAAAAAAAAAAAAAAAATCGGTGTGCTCAATCTGCAGAGTATTGCTGGCTCGCGTCTCTTTGGCGGATCACTAGCTTGAGTTCTGTGCTGTGGCTACTTGGTTTATAATTTACTGTCTGGAAATAGTAGTTGGTATGACTGAGGCTGCTCCGGCTTTGTGAAATTTGCTACAGCAATGCTGCGAGTTGGTATTTTTTCTAGGTACTTGACCTCTTTGGTGGGATTTCTAAATGGTTTGTAACAAAGTTGTTCATATCAGTGTGACCAGGCAGGTGAAAAGAACATGTCTTTAGGCCTGGGTCACCCCACAGTTTGGCATATTTGTGTAACTCACTGATGAAAGCTGGTTTGTACTGATGTATTTCATACTGTGAACGAAAAAAATTGTGTTCAGGGAAGAGGGTGATGGCTGGCAAAGAAATGGTATCAAGTAGATAATGTGTCATAGCATCCTGAATTGCTGCTGTGGTTTGCCAAGACTCTGACTTGGATGGGAAATGTTACAGCTGCAATTTATACTTAGATGAGACTATGTGAGCTGAGTACAGTGGACTTATTACAGTCATATCAAAGTAATGATCTCCTGATTTATCTGTCAGGGAATATCCCAACGTTTTCTATCTTCGGCTACCCTTACACTTTCCCATGAGAAGTGGATATGCATAAAATGAAGTTCTCAGCTTGGAAAGCAGAAAATAAAGCTCATCAGGAGCATAGCTGGCGAGGAGATGAGGGAAGCAATTTATTTTGATCATGCTTAATCGCAGAAGCACAGAGTTTGCTTAGAAGAGAATAGCTGAGTAGTTAATGCTGTTAAAGATGATGACACCTGAAACTTGATGGGCTTGTGTGCGGGATGGCTATCTGCAAAGCTGGGAAGAGGAATCTCAGAAAGTAACTTGTAGATGTGAATGTGAGAGATGATATGTTGGGGGAGGGCTGTTTGCAGTCTGTTCATTTGCTTACCTTTCTGCCTACCCTGGGCATTCAACTTCTTATCTAGAAACTTCCGTTGTTCTGTTTGGCAGAATTCTGGAATTTTTCCTTTCCTTTACAGTATCTTACTGCTTTGCACCCTGGACCTTCCTTTGTCACTGTTTCTGCTCTCTCTCCATCTCTGTCTAACCTCTGACTTCATTTTGTCTTCAAAGTACGTGAAATATGATTTGTGCTGGAATACTTTAAAAATACCCCATAGATGTATTCCACATAGTAGTATTCTCTGAACAGTCAATGAGACAGACAGGTGAGATAGATTAAGTCACTCTTTGGCCTTACATTAACTGTTTTTACAAATACTGGGCTTTGTTCATCCCTTTGCACCAAACAGTCTCCAAGGCCTGTCAAAGGACGTGCATCTCATACTTTGTTGGGGTTTTTTTTGTTTGTTTGAAAAGCTGGGGTAAATGAATATAGTATTACTTGAATGAAGACAGGAACAGTGCTGTGGGAAAACAACAGATCTGGAAGTCAGACCTGTGATTATCTCTCTTCTAAAAAAAAATTTAATCATGACTGGGAACATTGCCAGTTCTCACTGGAAGAGAATTGTCCTTACTGTTAAATCGTTGGCTTGTTCCTTGGCATGTGTTGGCCTAAGCAAGCGCTTGCAAAAGAGCCCTGGGCATAGTTCAGGTCTTAAGAGTGTCCTAGGAACTGTTCCATTAGGCAATTTGCATGCAGTTAACTTTTTTCTGGAGACTGAGAGATGTTTCTAGATTGAATTTAGACCCCTCTATGCTAGTTGGCCTCGATATTGGGAATATCTCAGGGTACTTTAACTTGTACAAGTGAACCCTAAAAGTCCTGGGTCACAGTGGAATGCTCTATCCAGTAAACCATTAGGATAGCCAGAAAAAAAGAAAAGCTTTCAAACTAAAATGATGTTTACAATAGAATCTATGTTTGGGGGGGGGGGGGGGGGGGGTGGTGGGGGGGGGTTAAAG